CCAGTGTCTTATGCAATGGCACTGCGGGGAAGAAAGCAGAGCCGGCTTTAGGAAGTGCGGGGCCCGATTCGAACAGTTTTGATGGGGCCCCGGCAGGGATGACTGAAAAAAAAAAAAAAAACCACGTAAAAAAATAATGTGGGGCTTGTTCTCACCGGGTGGCACTCGTAGTCTTTGGCGGTTTGTCCTTCACTCGCTCCGGGTCTTTGGTGGCACTGAAGGACCTGCTGCCGAAGTGCTGCCGAAGACCCAGAGCGAGTGAAGGACCCGCCGCTGAAGTGCCGCCGAAGACCCGGAGTGCTGCCGGGTGAGTAAAAATTAAAAAGGAGCCTCTAGCCAGGGAAGGGATTCTTGGCCACTTGCCCCCACCCCGGCGGCCCTGCCACTGGGCGCGGGGCCCTCTTAGGCACAGGGCCCGATTCGGGGGAATTGGTGGAATTGGCCTAAAGCCGGCCCTGGAAGAAAGGACAGGAAGAACGTCCAGTTACACTTTGTATTACGGTTCTGTTTATAAACCGTCTACAAAAGCAGCTAGTAAATGATGAATAGATGGTATAAGCATGTTACAGACATCAGTAGGACATATTACCAGATGGTTCTAAGCACATCAGCATAAGGTGTTGCAGATGGTTCTAAGCAACCTATTGACCCATTAGACTCTATATAAATTGGTTACTTCTTTATTAAGACAGCTATTAATAATTTATAAATGGAACTTCGATATAAAGGGTAGCCAAATACTTATATCCCAGACACAAGACGGGAACTTTCACTAGCTCCGCTGTATCAATAGGACTGCTTGCACTCGTAAAGCTAAGCATGTACTTATGTGTTTTGGATCGGGGCCAGAGTGCTCAGAACCTTGCAGGATTGAACCCTTGTACTGATAGAGGTTTGCGATAGAGCAAAACTGAATCTGTGTTCAGCAGGGTAATGATCGATATACAAGGTGCCCCCTTCATGGTATGGCTGGGAAATATTTGCACTTCTCAGGCTTTCTGACATATTCACAATGACATCCAAAGCCCTCGACAGGCAAGATTTCAATCATTCATTGGGAATTTAGAAAATTGGTCTGATTTATAAAAATCTTGGAGAAAAATATCTGACAAAACTTGAACTAACCCATTCTGAAAATGTGGAGAACATTTATACCTGAGCTTATGCGATTCAATTCCAAGGGGACATTGACTCTGAAGCCAAACAATAAACATGTAAACACACTAATGAACAATTTCATTGCTCGGCAGAGCTCACATGACAGGCAAGGGATGATCAGATTATGGAGCTCTCTTGTGAGGGAAGTCTCATTTTGGCATCTCACAGGGACAGAGCTGGATTTTGGGAGGGTTTAAGAGGGGTAACGTCGTCCCTCAATTCGACCCATTCTTATTTGTGACTCTAATTGCTATTTTTCCAACTCACTGAATTCCCCGGATAGCACAATACATTTTCTGACTATATTTGAACTCAAAATAACCCATATTTGACTGGAACATCTGAGGGCAACCACTGTCTCCCATCGTTTCAAAAATGGGAACATTCTGCTTGCTTGCACGGTTGCTATAGCAAGTATTTTGCTGCTTACGAACATTCTGGAATCCTAAAAGCTTGGTGCAGAAAAATCACATCATAACATACAATGTGAAAATATCCCCGCGTGGCAGCTGCTCCCCTCCTCACGTGGCCTGATTTCCAAGCAGCTCATCAGCAGATCTTATGCTCTTTTTGAATGCTGAAAGCAGTAACCCCACAACGGAGCAAGCAGCCACTGGCATTATGGGCTATAACTAAGCCTGCGAGTCTGTCACGGAGGTCATGGAAGTTACGGATTCCACACCCCCCGGAGCACCCACGGCCCCCCACCCAAGTTTTAGTTAGGGGTATATAGTAAAAGTCATGGACAGGTTACGGGGCTGTGAATTTTTGTTTACTGCCCATGACCTGTCCATGACTTTTACTAAAACTACCTGTGACTAAAACGTAGCCTTAACTATAACGAATAGTCTGGGCTTTTCTTTTTCTGAAAAGTCTTAGCTGTAGAACTACAAGGCTTTTGGTTACCATACTGTTTTTCATGGGAGAGATTATCAGAAACACTGAGGGATTTAGGAGCGCAAGTCCTACTGAACTTCAAGTCTCTTAAATCCCTTACACACTTATGAATTACACCCTTGCCACCGACATTCCTCACCAAAGAATCCTCAAACATTTGAGATTAAAAGAAAAAAATGTTTCAAACCGCTCATTTTCTTGCATTCATAAATAAGTTCCACATTCCAAGTTCATTAAACTATGTCCAAGTTCTTGTTAAAATGTGGGTACAGTTTTGGCCACAATAGAGACCGGAGCATGGATCCAAGGAGAATATTACAAGAATGACTGGAAAAGGGATTTTTGTTTTAAACCCATGGATTAGTCATAGTCAAATGAAAATGTCAGACACCTGGGAATTTAAAAAATACGATGAGAAGTCACCAGCAAAATACCCATGCCAGACTAATATGTCTCATATCCTTTTATGTTTAAGTGGAACCACTTTGTCTCTTTCCAAATGGCCAGTAAAAACCTAGTTGTGTATGTCCATAATAGCCTGAGAGGGTTGGATGTAGTCAGTAGCTGGAAAGGAGATTTAGGCCTACTCTACAATCTTTACAGCGCCACAGCTACACTGATCTAGGTATCCTGGAAACCTTGTTTAGGAGAGGCCGTTTCTATCACCTTGCAGCCCAGATGGAGCTGCATCTTGCTGGTGGCTAAAGCACTGCTATCAACACATCCCTCTTACCACGATCATGGGTTGCTGTGAGTTCAGACATTCGTAAAACTTGGTGCAACCTGCCAATGGAAGGGCCTAAAGATTTTCGGAGCAGTATTATTAACACTACCATCCCTGGCTCATCCCTCGCTCTCCACCCACACTGCTGACGGCTCTTAAGAGCAGCGTTTGTCCAGAGAACTCAAGGGTCATTTTTCTTAACTCTTTCAGCTTTACCTTCACGAATCTTTCTCTTTCCCAAGCTGTAATTCATAGCAGCGGGGAGCTGTTAACCTCACTGATTCATAGCCTCCTGCGGTCTCACAAAGACAATGCATCTCCAGCTTAGTGCTTGCTCCTCTTCCCTGCCCACTAAAACCCCTGTCGGCTCCACCCAGGCTGTAAAATAAACGTGGCTCAACCTGTGGTGCCCAAACATGCAAAGCCAGGACAAAGCAAGGCCAGAACATTGCTCTTGAGTGTTGCCATCTCATTAAATATTCAAAATGGAGAGTCTGGGTGGGATTTTCAGCCCACATAAGAGAATTAGGCACCTAATGACTTTCAATGGGACTTGGGCACTTTTCTTCTTCACTTCCTTGGAAAAATCCCATCTCTTTTCTCCTACCTACTTGGGCCAGGATGTTCAGAAGTGATTCTGGGTTCCTTCATTCTTTGGGTGCCCTGCTTCAGACCCCTTACAGGGGCCTGATTTTCAGAGGGAGGGGTGTTCTGAAAATCAGGTGCTTTTAAGGTGTATTGAGTTGGGAACTCAAACTCAGCAGTCACTTTCGGAAATCGTGACCATCGGCTTTGCATGAATCTTCGTCAAACGCAAATATTTTTAAATAGCTACAAAAGCAGTGACTGCCACGGTGAACAAAGTGCAGGAGTTCGGCTCGCTCCCCCTTGTTGCTAGCCAACTAGCTGAATGCTGAGTGACCTACTTGCGAAATATAATTTCTATCTATCTCTCATCTGACTTTTGAAAAAGCTCCCACTGAGAACAAGCCAAGTAACAAGAACATCAGCCAGTGCTGTTCAACGAGGAGCTTTGTGTCTTGCTGCTGGGAGAATCTTTGCAAGTTTATGCTCTTGAGTGTAAATGGATAAATGATTTGTCTGAAATACAGTCTCCTGTTGTGCCTGGGCTTCTCCTGACAACCCCCCCCATTTCAGGCTGCCCAGAGAGAAGCTGGAAATAATGTTTCATGGTATTTTGGAGAAAGTGCATCATGCACTTCAGAGCGACCTGCGCCATTTGCCAAGTTATGCAAGATAAACATGATTTCAAATGCAGACAACAGAGCCTATTCTTCTGTCCAAGGCCTGAGGTATTTCTGGGAGCAAGTAACTTTAATGCTAATGGACATGCTGGGCATTAGCATTTGCAGGGAGTATTTTCCATCCGAGAAGCTAGAGGGGGAGAAGTAGCGTTATCCCGTTTTACAGTCATAGGTTCCAAGGCCCAAGAGGCCCACTGTGATCATTTAGTCTGCGCTCTATTGCACAGGCCCGAGCACTTCCCCACAATAATTCCTGTTTGACCTAGAGCAGATCTTGTAGAAAAACATCCAGTCTTGATTCTAAAATTGCCAGTGATGGAGACTCCACCAGGACCCTTGGTAAGTTGTTGAAAATGGTTAATTACTCTGAATGTTAATGGCTCCCACTGCCTGCTTTCCAGCCTGAACTTGTCTAGCTTCAGATTCCATTGGATCTTGTCTTGGCATCCTTTGCCTGTTAGACCGAAGAGCCCATTATCAAATATTTGTTCCCTGTGTAGGTGAGCAAGTCACCCCTGAACCTTCTCTTTGTTAAACCAAATACTTGAGCTCCTTGAGTCTTATCACTATAAGGCACGTTTTCCAATCCTTTAGTGATGCTTGTACCTCCTCTCTGAACACCTCGCCAATTTATCAACAAACTTCTTGAACTGTGGACACCAGAACTGGACCCAGAAATCCAGTAGCGGTTGCATCAGTGCCAAATACAGGTGAAAAACCTCTCTACTCCTACTCAATCATCCCTTGTTTATGCAGTCAAGGAGTACTCCAGCTATTTTGGCCTCAGCATCAAACTGGGAGCTCATGGTCAGCTGATTACCCACCTTGACCCCAGGATAGAGTCCCCCATCGGGGAAGTATGATCAACGCTCTTTGTTCCTAGATGTCTGTATTCACATGTGGCTGTATTAAGCCACAGATTGTTCCTTTGTGCCCAGTTTACCAAGAGACCAGATCACCCTGTGTCTGGTGCCTGTCCTCTCCATTATCTAACTCTTCCAATTTTTGTGTCATCTGCAAACTTTAACAGTGATGAGTTTATGTTTTCTTCCAGGTCGGTGGGAAAAAAAAGTTAAATAGAGTAGGACCTAGAACCGATTCCGGTGGGACCCCACTGAAAACACACCCGGTCCACCCTGATTGCCTGGTTATAATTACATTTTGAGACCTGTCAGTGAGCCAGCGTTCAATCCATTTAATGTGTGCCATGTCGATTCTGTATCACTCTAGTTTATTAACCAAAATGTTGCGTGGTAGCAAGTCAGATGAGGAAACCCAGACAGTGGCTGGGTCGGGAATAGAATCCTAGGAGGGAATGTTCAGGTCAGCTGCGTGCAGAGAGCTAGGTGGGTAAAGCCATGGGCACCCTACCCTTTTTAGTCTTTTTATTTATAGTTGTATGTATCACCCGAGAGCCCCAGTCATGGGGAAGGACCCCATTGTGCTCAGGGCTGTGCAAACCCAGAACAAAAATACTTTCTCTTGCCATCATTTTGTTACATCTAGGCGAGGTCGATCCAGCCAAGCCTTTTTCGTTGGGAATAATTCAATATAGTATTTAGTGATGAATTTTGCTGGCAAGGTTATAGCTCACAGAGACCAGCCAGGAGGATGAATCATAGCAAATACAGCTGAGCCCGCTCATGCCATGAGGTTAAAAAGCCATTAGTGACAGAGCCTCACTGCTTTCCGCAGCAAACGAGTGGAACTTCGTTACGATAAACCCTGGAATTAGGCAGTGAAATATGGAGGGACAGCCTAAAACCAGAGGGCTACAGGGAACTGCTGAAAAGCTGCTGTCTAGCCCCTCTGCAATAATGGCAGAGCAGGAGAGCACCTCACAGGCCAAGTACGGGGAGTAGCCAAAACGCAGGCCAGGTACACACCCACGCTGCGAAGCGACAGCAGGCAATTCCCGTCTGCAGGCTGCTGAGATCTCTGCGACCGACTCACACTGTACCACAGCGCAATCCCTTTGTCCCACTGTAAATCCTATTTACTGTGCAGAGCAATGACCCAGTCCCAGTAGAAATACATCCGAGGCAAACGAATACCTGCTTCATAAATATCCTGTGCTGCAGCAACTCCCAGCTCTCCCGGGCATGTTCGAGCACTGCACTAGCAAGGCAGGCCAGGCACAGACATTGCCACGGGTTTGGTCGAACCCTCCTGAAAGGGACAGCTCTGGGAAGCCAGCGCTCCCGCACACGAGGCCTGTAGGGGAGGGGGCACGGCCTTCCAACCCGACAGATCCTGGGGCCTCATGAGACAGGGGATAGAGGTAGAAGTAATGGACAGCTCCCACCTGGAATGGCTACTTCTCCTTGCTAGTGCTTGGGCCCCCACTCCCCTGGCAATGAGGCTCCAGCAGGAGCCAGGCGGCCATTGGAGGGGTCTCTTGTGGCAGTACAGTAGCAGAGTCTGCTGGTCGCAGCATTAACTCCCAATGGATGGGTCCCGGGGCAGCTGGCCACAATGCCTTCTAGAGAAGCTGGGCCCTGGATCCACCCTTCCTAATGCCCATCATGCACCCACAGAGGGATCTTTGTAGAGCAAGGGGAACTGCTGCAGAGGGGACAAGATGGCCCTATGTATCCCCTGTGGCCCCTTCTCCGGAGCTAGGCAGGTTAAACACGGGGCCGCCTCCCGGATTTGTGTCTCTCCAGGGTGTGGAAGACCGAGAGCCCATGCATCAAACCCTCTCCCCAAGCCTTGCAGCTTTCCCCAGCACTCAGGAGGGCTATGAAATAGCTGTGAGCCAGGGCGAAAGCAGGGGCCAGCTGCACGACAGAAAGCTAAAACACTTTAATAACCTGCTTGTGGCATTTCGCTGCTAAGAGCAATTGAAAAACCAACGGTCGTTCATGAGGGGAAATAACAGGAAAGCTCCATTCTAGTGCTCTGGCCCAGTGGCCTTTCTCTACACTCTCCTACTATAGGAACAAAGTGCATGGCAAGACAGGCTTCACTTCGCTGTTTGTTGGGTACCGACTGCTTTTCCCCACGAGAGCACGTAGCATCCTGCACTGGCAGGGAAATGATGCAGGTGCAGTTATAGCGCTTCCCCTCCCCAAGACACGACGCTGCTTGCTTTTGCCAAAGGTAGGCACATGAATGCTCAAGAAGTCACTTCAGGGACTGACTTTGTCTGGAGACAGAAGCTGAAGACCAGGAATAGCGTGTGCAAAAGGATGAGAGAAAAGAGCTCCCTTCTGCTCGACAGCACGTGGTCTGAGCTATTTCGAAAGGGTGAATACACAGACATCTGCTGTGCGAAGGGCCATGTGGGAGTCCATCGCTGGCAATATTTTTAATTGTTTTTTCCCCCTGCCTCTGTTTTCCTTGTAATAAGCCAACGAGCCGAGTGCTACTGGCTTACTTATTTGTCATCTGCACCGCTGCAGAGTACAAGAGATCCTTCAGTGCAGATTAAAACAAATGTGCCAAAGAGAAATTCGCTCCATTTCTCCAGAGACCAAAAAGGGAGGTGCTGGATTCCCTGCAGCGGGGAAATGGCAGAAAGTTATTTTCCCCTGTGACTCTTCAGCTACTGAACAATAGACAGCACGGGGGGGAGGGAAGTGTCATCCAGCAGCGCCCGGAAAGCAGGTATTTCTGCAGCGCAGGGCCGCTGGTAACTTAGACAGGGAGAGTGTTCCTTGATCACCGTAGGGAACAGAACTGTACAGAGCTTGCTGGTTCCTTGGCAGCCTGGATCTGTAAGAGGATCAATTCATTCCTAAGCCCAGTTGCACCCAGAGCTCCCAGGGAAATCAATGAATGTGTAACTCAGGGCAGCATTTGTTCCTACTCTGTTTTGAAGTAGTACAATAGCCTGGCTCTGTCAGATTGTTATGACTACTTAGAAATTCTTAGCAATTAGCACAATCAGGAAATGCTTAGTAGCATGCACTCTTAGCACTTCAGCTTTTTGCAAAATGAGCTAAGCCCCAAGCTCCCGAAGAGGTAGGTGGTGTTATCCCATTATATAGATCGTGAAACTGCAAACTCCATAGCCACAATTCTCCATCAGTACAGCTCCCACCCGTGTAGCAACAGCGTACATATGGCTCTGAGCAGGATTAGACAACAGGGTGATACAAATGCACAAGCACAACTGGAGCCCTGTCGACCCTGCAGCCTCCTCTGTTGCTCTCAATGGAAGAGCAGTCCTGGAGGTGAAAAACTGTCTTTGCCAGCAAACAGTGTAGCTAGGTCAGAGAGGTTAAGTGACTTGGCCGAGGTCACACAGCACATCACTGGCAGAGGCAGGAGCATAAGTCAGGAATCCTGACTCCCCATTCTGTACTCTAACCATTAGACAGAACTCCCTGAGACCACTGAAAGTAGCCTGACTTTTTCCAGCTTTCACAACAGTTCAAATTCAGGTTTGGGTTCGGGTCTTGGGTGAAGTTTCTGGTTTTCATCCAACCCAGAGGCACTGGGTCATTTGTGTTCAGCAGAAAAAGGATGGCAAAGCACTCACGCTTAGCTGTGAAGGTGTTTCACATCCCAGTAGCACCATGGGGCCATGTGCTCATTACCAGACATCTACCACTCACAAAACTCCTTTGAGCAGAGGGCCTGGTTTTCTACCACAAAAGGAATTACCCGCAGTGGACTCAACAGGAGTTAAAAAACAAACACCATGAAGAACAGAGTGAGGTGTGCGGAAGATATTATTACTCTGCTCATTCACACAGGCTGTGCCGCTTTCCTCTCTTCCATTGGGAGGGCTAGAAGGACTCACCCATACTTGCAATTATGCTGTGAACAGGCAGCCTGGATGGGCCGTCATAGATCCCTCTCCCTGCAAAGCCTTTCTTCTTTTGCTTCTCCTCCTGCTTGAATATGAAGGCAGAGTTCTCCTCCTTGGTGATGTTAATGTAGAAGCAGGTGTCAGACGCCGTCATGATGTGCCGCGGCCCAGGGTTCAGCAGGATGCTCTTGTTCTCTTCCCTCCTGATGCCGATCAAGCAGACGCCGTACCTAAGGCAGAAGTACAATGTGGACATTCAAGGCCACTCCCTAGAAAAGACTCTTGGTTTCTTTTGCAAAGCTACTGCCTGGGCCTCAGCCAACGTGTCACACCAGCGTCACTGACCCAGCACATGGAAAACGGAAGCAAATGCAAACTCTCCTCTCACTTTGCACCTTTCCAAACCAATATTGGAGGTAATTGGATTGATCCAGTCCCCGCTGCCCCGCTATTTACCAAGAGAGTTAAACGACCGCGACATGTGAGACCGGTACCAAAAGCTGCAAGGGATCCCCATGCCAGGGCTTCGAGGTACCGAACCGGGCTGGCTCTCACTTTTTGTGTGCGTGGAAGGCAGCATAGGTGAAGCTTTTCCCTTCGTATTCCATGAAGAACTTGCTGTCCCCCATGCGGATGTGGTACACTTCGTTGCCTGAGCAGCGTCCGTACATCCTTTGCCACTGCTCCGGGGACTCCTGGCCTTCTCTGTAACCAGAGGAACAGAATATGCCTGGTAAGGACTTGTGCTCAGCTCCACCACCACAGTGCGATCTCACTAGGGTCCCCCCCCATCACTGTGGTATCTGGGCACCTTGCTGGAAGGCCAGCATGCTTTCTGAGCCCATAGCAAGTGGGGGAGCTTCTTTAGGTTAAAGCTATTCTTGTGGGAATTATGGGGCCAGTCCAGGTGGGCCCTTCCAAGGATGTGTCATCGGGGAAGCTGGTGGCCAGGAAGAGAATTGCAGGGGGGAACTGATGAGCCTGCACCTTCAAAATCCATGCCTAAAGTGTCACGCTCGGCAGGCCCTCTGCAGCAAGAGGTGGTGCTGTATTTGCCACCCCGGACTAAAGTGAAGGGCATTTGAACACCTCTGCCCCCTGACCCAACTGCTCCATGTGTCATGCCGATTACTGATAACAGCCTCCTGAAATGACCGAAGAAGACCCAAAGTTTGCTCCGCTGTCATCCTGTCTCACAAGTGCCTGAGCAGAAGGGCCTTGGAGTACAAAAATACCCCGGGCAGGCCACAGGGCCCACTCTCTGGGCTAAGCGATGGGGTCGGAAAGGGTGAGGGGAGGCAGCCGTGGCAGGACTCCTCTCCATGTTGTAACAAATCTCCATGGTTCAGCATTGGAGATCACCCCTCCCGATCCCAACAGAATGAAGGGACTCCAGCCTCCCTACAGCTACACCCTCCGGGCCAGATCCTCCTCAAAGGACAATTCATGCCAGCTGAGGAGGATCTGCTCTATACGGTGTTATTACACGGGACACTGAATGACAGGAGCTGTTAAAGATGAGGCTGCATTTTAGGCCATCAGCACTAAGATCATGACTGTGTGTATCAATAACCTGCTGCGCTTTCCAGGCTCATTTTAATTTCGGATTTTAACTGCCTTCCTATTTCATGGGAAAGAAGAAGGCTGAGAGGGGATCTGATTGCTCTGTATAAATACATTAGGGGCATAAATACCAGGCCGGGTGAAGAACTAGTGAAGCTAAAGGACAATGTTGACACCAGAGTAAATGGATATAAACTGGCCAGGAACAAATTCAGGCTGGAAATTAGCAGAAGGTTTCTAACCATCAGAGGGGGGAGATTCTGGAACAGCTGCCCACTAGGAGTTGTGGTGGGCAAACAACGTCATTAGTTTTAAAACGTTTTAGTGCAATCGTACGAGGGGGTTGCTTGTAATGGCGCGAGCAGGGCTCAACCATCCTGGGGCTCCCTTCCGGGTTATGACGTATGCCCCACACTACAAGAAGGATGTGGGAAAATTGGAAAGAGTCCAGCGGAGGGCAACAGAAATGATTAGGGGGCAGGGGCACATGACTTATGAGGGGAGGCTGAGGGAACTGGGATTGTTTAGTCTGCAGAAGAGAAGAACGAGGGGGGATTTGGTAGCTGCTTTCAACTACCTGAAAGGGGGTTCCAAAGAGGATGGAGCTCGGCTGTTCTCAGTGGTGGCAGATGACAGAACAAGGAGCAATGATCTTAAGTTGCAGTGGGGGAGGTCTAGGTTGGATATTAGGAAACACTATTTCACTAGGAGGGTGGTGAAGCACTGGAATGGGTTACCTAGGGAGGTGGTGGAATCTCCATCCTTAGAGGTTTTTAAGGTCAGGCTTGACAAAGCCCTGGCTGGGATGATTTAGTTGGGGTTGGTCCTGCTTTGAGCAGGGGGTTGGACTAGATGACCTCCTGAGGTCCTTTCCAACCCTGATATTCTATGATTCTGCTGCGGAGCTTCAGCCGACCACTGGCCGAGGTCAGGAAGGGATTTTCTTCCCCACTGTATTCTGGGAGGGTATTTTAATCTCCTTCCTCTGAAACATCACGCCTGGAAGTGGAACACTGGACCGGGGTGGCGGTGTGGAACAAGGCTCTGAAGTGGCTCTGAGCATTCTCTCTCTCTCAGGGGCTTGGCCAGCTGGTTCTTGCTCACACGCTCAGGGTCTAACTGATCACCAAATGTGGGGTCGGGAAGGAATTTCCCCCCAGGTTAGACTGGCAGGGACCTTGGGGGTTTTTCGCCTTCCTCTGCAGCATGAGGGTTATCTGTGTATATCTCATTTAATCCTTTCCCTGCCATTGCAGGGGCCTTGGGCACTGGTGCATCTCGGTCCCTCCTATTCTCTGCCTCTGGCACATAATAGTCTAGTCTCCTGTGGGTCTCATTTACTTTGGTCTCATTTCAGTTGCCGGATTTAGTGGGCGAGTTTGGGGCCTGCGACAAACGGTGCCAGTCCTTAAGTCATCCCCCCTGCACGGCACAGCGTCTGTGAGTGGCCATTTGCTGAGATACGATTGCCACACCCATGACTTCCTGCCAGCCATCTGGGTCTCTCTGTTCCACCGTTCATTACCTAATGTTCCCCTCTCAAGCTGGATCCAAATAAAGTGTGTGCAGATTTCAGCTCCAGGTATGTGACTTCTGTACTTATAAGGCAAGTGACACTGCCCCAGCTCAATGGGTCACAGAGGACATTCAAAAGTATTATTCTTTCTTGTAAGATTTATGCTTTTTAACTAGAAATGGGACAGGACCAAGGCCCAGGACACAAGGCATCAGAGGGAAGGTGATCAGATACACAGCTGGAACTATAATTATTATTGATCATTGGTAGTCTGATAGCATCTAGAGATCCCAACCAAGATCAGGTAGACGCTGTACAAACATATCATAAGAGATAGTCTCTGCCTCAAAGAACATACAATCTAAATAGAAAAGGGTAGGAGAAAAGATGCATTACTGTCCCCATTTGACAGATGGGGAACTAAGGCACAAGGAGGCTAAGTGACAGGCCCATGGTCACACAGGTTGGCTGTGGCAGAGGCTTGAATAGCCCCCAGAGCTCCTGAGTCTCTGTCCCTTTAACACAAGATCATCCTTTCTCTCAAGGCAGATTTAAGTTAATATAGATCCGATCTAAACTTTGTAGTTCAGGCCCAATCTCTATTTTTAACCCAATGCAAATGTTAAGAAGCCAACCCAGAGTGAAGAATGTGCAAAAAACATTCCAGCAAACAGAAGACAGTTCATGAGTAAAACACCAGCACTCACTGGCCCCTGGATGTGTGAACCAGCAGGGTGATGAGCGTGGAGGTTGCTGGGCAGACGCAGTTCAAAGCCAGCATGGCGTATTTGCATTCTTCTTCGCAGACCACATGATCTGAAATGAAAAAGACAATTACTACCCTCTGAGCATCACTTTCATTTTTCTGATTTACACACCTCCTACAACTGGTAATGTCCCATGGCTGATCTTCTAGCTAGCCAGTTGCTATGCATGGGAGGCTGGGGAGAGGGTTGCACAGCACGCACAGCTATTTGAGGATGCTGGAGATCGTTTGTTTTATGTTCCAGTCTCTATGAAGTCAGCGCAGATTGATTAAGCACAGAAGGGGCTGCAGGGAAACACTCAAACATCTTGTTTCCAGTACGTACCATAGACGGTTTCAACTAATCAAAAACCCACTCTGGATGACACATGGGGAGCAATGAAAATTGGAATAAATGCAGGGAGGAAAAACAGATTCACAGAATGGAAACCTGCCAAGTAAACAGAACCCAATCCAGACCCCCCCCCCCGATCCCTCCCAAGGCAGAGTCAGGGGAGAGGGATGAATTTCAAACCCCAGGACCTGGTCCAGATTCATTCTATGAAGGACAAGGTATCACACTGACAGCCTAATGACCTGTACTCAATCTCAAGTGTCTCTTTCCAGAAAAAAATTGATCATTGTCCAATAATAATAATAATCTGGTAACATATTTGAATTTAGGCCCAATCCTGCCACTGGTCCCACATGGTAATTTGAGGGCAGAGAAATGGCAGAATTCACGATCCAAATTATGCAAGTTTATCATGGGGAAGATAAGAAAAGCTCTCTCACTTCATTATAATTTCCCTGATCACAGATACTAAACTGTTCTGTACTTTACAACACTGTCGAACCCACAATCCCATTTTGGGAGACTCCCCAGGAAACACTTAAAAGACAAGGACCATACCTAAAAATACAAACACTACATTTTTAAAAGGTTTTCAGAAACTTTTGGCAAGGTTTAAAAGTTTGGTTGTTTTTTGAGTTGGTAGATAAGCCTCTGCCCTACCTCATAATGGCCCAGGGGGACTATTCTGCCAGTGACCTAAGGCCGTGACTCACATTAGCATTACTAGCTGTTAGGAACATAAGAACTGTCATAGTGGGTCAGACCAAAGGTCTATCTAGCATGGTATCCTGTCTCCAACAATGGCTCCAACCGGAGCTTCAGGAGGTGTGTACAGAACAGGGCAGTTGGAGTGATCCACCCGTCTTCTTCTCCCAGCTTCCGGCAGTCAAGGGGTTTAAGGTCACCCCAAGCATGGGGTTGCATCCCTGGTCATCTTGGCTAATAGCCATTGATGGACCTATCCTCTATGACCATCTCTAGTTATTTTTTTTTAACCCAATTATATTTTTGGCCATCGCCCCATCCCATGGCAATGAGTTCCACCGGTTAATTGTGCGTTTGTGTGAAAAAGTACTTCCTCTTGTTTTTATTAAACTCACTGCCTATTTATTTCATCTGGTTTTTCTTTTGTGGGAATGGGTAAATAACACTTCTTTATTCACTTTTCCCACACTATTCATGATTTTATAGACCTCTAGCATATGCCCCCTTAAGCGTCTCCTTTCTAATCTGAACAGTTTAATCATTTCCGTCTCTTTTTGTACAGAAGTCGTTCCATCCCCTTGATCATCTTGTTGCCCTTCGCTGAACTTCTTCCAGTTCCACTATGTCCTTTTTGAGATGGAGCAACTCGAACTGGACCCCGCAATCAAGGTGAGGGCACACCATGAATTTATATAGCTGCATTATGATATTCTCCGTCTTATTTTCTATCCTTTTCCTAATAGCTCCTAACTTTCTGTTTGCCTTATCAGTGTTGAATTTCATCTGTCATTTTGCTGCCCAGTCACCCAGTTTTGTGAGATCCCCCTCTTCAGTCAGCTTTGGACTTAATTACCATGAATAATTTTGTAACATCTTCAAACTTTGCCTCTTCGCTGTTCACCCCATTTTCCAGCTCATTAATGAGTATGTTGAATAGGACTGGTCCCAGTACAGATCCTTGGGGGACCCCCTTGTTCACCTCTCTGCATTAGAACACCTGACCATTTATTCCTAACCCTTTGTTTCCTTTCTTTTAACCACTTACTGATCCACCAGAGGACTTTCCCTCTTCTCCCACGACTAATTAGTTTCCTTAAGAGCCTTTGGTAAGGGACCTTGTCTAAGGCCTTCTAAAAATCCAAGTACATTTTATCGATTGGATCACCCTTATCTTCATGCTTGTTGATACCTTCAAAAGAATTTAATAAAACGGTGAGGCGTGATTTCTCTTTATAAAAGCTGTATTGCTTCTTCCAACAAATTGTGTTTATCTATGTGTCTGATAGTTCTGTCCCTTAATATAGTTTCTAGCAATTTGCCCAGTCCCGAAGTTAGGCTTGTCAGATCGCCTCCGGAGCTCTTTTTTTTATTAAATTTAATTCCTGTGCTGTGACAGGCAGAGGATGGATATCCTAAAATATCTGCTAGAAGGACCAAGAAACTAGAGGAGATCACGCCACCAGGGCAGTGGCAACTCCGGCAGCGAGAGGTTCAGACTGGTGGCTGGAAGAAATACGGGAACCCATTGGTGGCGAGTAGCAGTGAATATTCAGGAACATCTGTAGATTGGTGGCTGTGTTCAGCAATAAGTCTCCCCTCAGGGCTCCTGGCGTGAGTAAAGGCAGGTGGATCTGGCCTTCCAGGGGAAGCCCACATCTGCTCACACCAAACTCACCAGCAAACTTGACATGAAACTTGTTTTCAGGCTTTAGAATCTGAACATAGAGGGGGCAGTTGGGAGCAAAATCCTTCACAGCCCAGGCTCTCAGGATGGTCTGATGGTCCTGATGAAAGACAAAGGCAAGAGCAACGCTATAAGCATCCCTCCGGCAGCTCAGTAGGTTCCAGCACCTCCATGTTTTAGGCTTAATTCACAAGCAATAGTGCCTTGTGATCACCGAGAGACAAGCACAGGCAGGCTCACTGCAAACACCCAACCCTCCCAGGCTGCCCCTCCAGAACAAATGTGGAGTCTGGAAGCGAAACAGGAAAAATAAACTGAGTTCAGTCTAGGATTTGCAGATTTCCTGTGGGGTCCTTTGAATAGCCCAGCCTTAACCTCCTGGCATCCCAGACCGGTAACTGATTTGCTATATACACAGAATCAGATAAAGGCCATACACACGGGTACATGTTGGAATCTGGGTCATCCCAATACCAGCACAGAGGGTTACATACTTGCCCCAGGGATCTGATGAGAAGATATGCCTGAAATCTTGGTAAATAATAATTCAATATGAACTATCCCCGCTTCCTGAGGAGTGCCACCCTACGCTGAACTTGTTCTGTGGCCACTATTCAAGGGCGGGTTCCTCCCTGGCTAAAGAAAACGGACCTACAAGGGGTCCTAAGGAGACCCTGACTTTCACTCTGCAGGTCACTTCCTCCCACCTCAACCCAGTGTGTCCTTCCCCAGGCACCCCTGTTCATTCTCCAACCAGAGGGCAGCAGGCAGACCAGGCCTCTCGTTTAGCTGGTTCCAGTGATGTATTCAAACCGTATCATCATTTCCCTCCAGAGTTTTTTAGAGGATGCACTTAAATTCAAGTGACTGAACCCCAGCCCTCTTGATCTTAACACACAAGCTTCTACTGCCATCTCTGTTAGCAGCCGGCTTGTCAATCCCTGTGTTACCAATTTGTTATTGCAAGGGTTTTAGTCACGCTATTCCCTGAACCATGAGGAGTGGTCACCCTTCGCCTGTTCTCTGTAATGTTACTCAAGGTACATTTACACTGCAATAACTGACCCTCCTCCCCGCCACAGCACTGGGTCTCGGAGCCTGGATCAGCTGACTCGGGCACGGGGAGCTGAGGCTGCAGGGAAAAAATAGCAGTGTAGATGTTCGGGCTTGGGCTGGAAGCCTGCAAGGGCGTGGGTCTCCCAGCTCAGGCCCAAAGGTCTGCACTGCAATTTTCAGCCCGAGCCTGAGTCAGCTGATCTGGGCCAGCCGCAGCCGTGCCGTGGGGCTTTTATTGCAATGTAGACGAACCCTGACTCTGAAATCTCCCAGCTCCCTGTTGCAAATGCGGGCCTAGGCACAGGGCGGCCAGGGCACTGCAAGGACCTTGGCACAATGATGTTGATGAGAGATTAAATTTCAGCCCTCAGAGGCTCTCTCAGTGGGGAACTCTAATGCAGAGACTCCGGATCCATTGAGAGCAGCCCCTCGTTTCTAACAATTTCCATTGACGTTTCTGGTGATTCACACTGGGCCAAACGGTGAAGTCGTTACTGTCTCCTTACTCAGGAGTTAGCCTGGTAGGAGGATGCCTTGGGGACCTGGCCCCTGGCAGGTTTTTTCAAGCCCACGTGTTCTCTCTCATGACCCTCTTCCCCTTCCCTGAGGCCGTGGCAAAGTCACAGTCCTGACCGGATAGCAGCCCACACACTTGCATGGCAACCGTGACTGCAAACCAGTCTGTGACCTCACTGCAAATCCCAACGAACGCATCTCTCCTGCCCCACGGGAACATAAAGCCAGCAGGAGTTCACTGCTCGCCGGGGACGTTCTGCTCTTCCCACCAGTCAGGCCAATAGTGGGAGCAAAGGTTCAGTCCAGAATAAAACGAGCCAGAGGAGAAACGTGTCCTGGAACCACACAGATCAGTCTCAGGGGGTAGCCGTGTTAGTCTGTATCTACAAAAACAACAAGGAGGATGCATCTGAAGAAGTGAGGTTTTTACTCACGAAAGCTTATGCCCAAATAAATCTGTTAGTCTTTAAGGTGCCACCAGACTCCTTGTTGTTTTTACAGATCAGTCTGTCATTGAAAAGCCAGCATGGCTGCAGCTAGTCACACGCTGTCTCCCCCGGCCTGTCTGGAGAAACTGGCAGCAGTGTGGCTTTGTTCCAGTTTTATGCACCAGCCGATGAGACAACTTGACACACACAGACTATCACGAAAGCAGCAAGACCAGCAAATAGGAACATGGGAATCCTTTCAGCAGTACGGACACAGCCCCTCGGCACATGCATGAGCATGGAAAAACACCCTGGGTGTAGAATGCCACTGTATTTTAATGCAGGGGTTCTTGTCCTTTGCCATACTAGGACCCCTTTGCATACCAGCGCACCCGCCTCCCCCAAGGACTATCCCTTCCGTCCAGCCAGGACCTCTCTCTTATTTAGCACTAGGGGGAGAGCTGAGTGAGCTGTGTCCTCCTGATAGCTGTTCATGACCCATCCCTGGGTTGAGAACCTCTGTTTTAATGCACCCCAGTTTGGCGTGTGGGTCTGACTCATTCTGGTGGCAGGCATTCGGGTACAGAGTCAGCCGCTGTGGTCAGCCCCTCTGGTCACACAACCAAATTGGCCCCCAACCTCTCCTACTGCTCTTCCCAACGTCAGTGTCTTGTGTTGGTGTATCATAATTTCTTTGCCACCTGACCCTTCTTGTGGATAATCCCATGAGCTGTGATCTAACTTTCCACCTGGTCTCCTTCCCACAGCTTTATCTGGGCACGGTAAGAACATGCATTTCAGGATCACCGTCAGATACCTCGCTTCCTAATTCCGATTTCTTTAGGCCTCTCTTCTTGGGTATTTTTTTCGCTGCATGCAGGGTGAGGACGTTTCTAGTTCACACAGTTCAAGGTGATCCCCAAAGCCCCAGCTCTGCCAATCCCAGCATATGCACCACGAACACAAATGACAAAAGCATCATAAGGCAGCAAAATGTCACCAAGGCATGCCTGGCTGGGGAGTGGTAGACAGCCTGTTGATGAATGCACCTGATGTTTTCGACACTTAGGAGAGAAACATTGGACTGACCATAGTGGCTCAGGACTTCCTCCAGTTCAGTAGCTCTGTCTTCAAGAGCGGATGCTTCAGAGGAAAGAACAGGAATCCCTGCCCTAGGAAGGGACGGGATGACTTGCCCCAGGCAATGTAAATTAGTATTAGCATTATAAGTTTGTTAGCACCCATAACCAGAGGTCCATAGAGAGAAACCAGGCTCTGCTAACTGCCATCTCCTTTGGGGGAGGGCCTTTGGCCTGGGTTATGCAGGAGGTCAGACTAGTTTATAATGGTCCCTTCTGGCTTTAACAGCTATGATGCGCCAATAAACCCAGCCCTGTCTTACCGCGGCCGTGCGGTCCGCCTCGTTTCGACTGCTGAGAATGAAACAGGCCTCTCCGTTATCCATCCTGAAAACACAAAGGGTTCTGTGATCACACACAGCCAGCAAGCTTCTTCATCTCACAGGCACTCAGCTAGAGAGTCCGCTGGCCTGGTTTCTGGGTGGTCAGAAAAGACGGCACACCTGGGCACTGCTAACGTTTGCCGGGAATCGGGTAATCAGCCCTCCTGCCCATCCCTGTCACATTACAAGAGGAGCAGAGGTAGCCTGCGAGAAGGCCATTTCATGCTGCTGTTAGTAAATTAAATACAGCAGACTGGGAACAGCAGGGATGTTATAAAGGGCCTGATCCCAGTTGTACCAGTCAAACTGTGCACATACTGTTCCCTTGGGGACAGGGACTTGATCATTTCTGTGAGCATCCTGTGGTTACGGGCTGGACACCGCAGGGGAAAGCCTCAAGGGAGCACTGGGGTTGGTGTGTGTCTGTCAGTAGCCAGCACAGAGACAACACGGTCGGCGGCTTGCATAGCTACAGGCTTTTGGTTTCAGGGAGCTGAGCTACAGGGGGCACAAATGAGGCTGTTTCACATGAAGGGCAGGTAGCGGCGAGGCGCCTCACAACCCTGAGTATCTCTGGGGAGCGTCACGCCGCCACCCCCTGAGGAAGCCGACAGGACTGCGAGCAGATGGCTGCTCTCTGCACAGGCGGGTGTGAATGCCGCAGAAAGCCATCCGGTATTTCTCCACGGTTTTATTTCAGCTGTGGGAGGCCCTGGCAAGGCTCAGGTAATTAAACAAGGGAGCTTCTGGCTCTGGCAGGCGACAGACATGAAACACTTGGTGAACAGTGGAAAGCGGCTCTAATTGCCATAGGTCGTATCTCTGCATCTGTCTTGTCTAGTTAGACGGCAAAGTTAACTTGGGTGATCAGCACACGGGTCGGAGCACCCACGTCGGGCTAGCCCGCGTGCGAGCAGCCACGCTGCAGAGCCAGACTCGAGTGTGCCCATTGACTGCGTCCACACTGCCACCGCATGCCCTCGTGTGAGGCACTAGGACTTTAGGGGCATACCCCAAAACTCTTAGCTCTGCAGAAAACTCAGCGGCTCTATGCTTCTTTCCCAGTGAATTGTGGGAGAACTTGTCTGACACATGGGTGGGGGGGAATGTAAGAAGGCACTGGAGGACTATCAGCGCTCAAGTGATTTAGCCTGCATTTGATTGCAAAGAGGGCAGGCTACCATGGGGTTAGCCTATCCCCCACAACAGGCCCGCTAGCCTGAATGCAAAGCACCAGCATGCCCAGGGGAGAGAGTTTTGTATGAAGACAGGAGACAGATAAGGGGCTACACCCAAGTAAAAGCTGGAGTTAACTCTGCAGTGAACACATGCCCTAGGTTTGTATAGTGCCTAGCACAAATAGTGCCGGGCCTTGGCCAGCCCCTAGGCACTGTTGTAATAAACACGATTAATAATAAACGTGCACCAGGCAGGGCAGCGGGGATGGGTCATTGCTTCTTAACGTGCTGCTTTGGAAAGCAACTCTGCACCAAGATCCTGCCCAGACTTGTCTGACACAGGTGGTTCCTTGAGTCACCAGAGATGAGAGAGTCCATTGTATGGGGACAGCCACACAGAGCAGCACTGGACAAAGGGGCCAGTGATCAGCACACAGCGCACACAGCACACAGCACACACAGCACACAGCCTGCCGAATATATGTACAAACCTGCACAATTATACATGCTAGAACTTGCTTGCATGAACTGCCCTAGGAGCCTCTGGAAATGCATCTCCCAGGGCTGGTCCGAACTGAGGATTTCTGCACGCGAGTAACTTTATCCAAGTGCTGCACCAGAGCAAACCCCCAACAGACGTGTCATGCAGTTGTAAAAAGTGGTTTACTCTGGTTTCAGGTGCGTCTACAGTAGCGGCTTGCCCCGGTGCAGCACCTCTGGGGCAAAACCCCTCAGTGAGGACAAACCTCCAGTCTCCCTTTGTGGCACTGCATGGACTGGGTGGGAGGGGGGATGAATCCACACTTAAAAGACACACAGGTGCCCCTCCGCACACATTTTACCCTGGAAGAGTCCTGGCTGTGATTGTTTCTTGTAAGTGCTCTCGCTCCGGAAATGAGCATCCACGGGAAATGCACAATATTAAATAGCGAAGAGCCCCTTCCCTTCTGGCTGCCTTCCACTGTCCCCGCTCCCAGTATGGTCCTCAATGGTGCTTTCTGCTGCCTTTGCAGAGCGATGTCTTTATAAGGAGATATAGTGTGACCGCTTGTGTTGCCCTCTCTTTTTCTCCCGTTACCTTGATTTAAACATGATTTCTCTCTCTCTGAATTAATTAAAATGTCATTTTCCCAAAGAGGTCCCAGCAGACACAGTGAACAATGTCCCTACAAAGCGAGTTTACGCCATCGGTATTTATAAGGCAATGGAGAGAGACACACAAACAGCCAGGAAAATTAAAGACCAGTTTCAGTGTTTCAAGGGATGTGTAAACTGTCCTCGGAGCAGTAAGTACATGCTGAGCATTAAAGAGACGGGGGAAAGGGAAAGGAATAGAAAAGCAAAGTAGAAAAAAGGGCTCTGGGGTGGAAGGGAAGAAGAGAAGAGGGGTTTGGAAAGTGTGACAATGGAATGTGCAATGTTAGAGGGGAGGTGGAAGACAAAGCCTTGTCTACATTGCCATTTTAGACCTTGGGGTAGCTGTGCTGACTTGAAAGTGGGTTGAGCTGCGAATCGTGTTGCGCTGGTGTGAACCTGGGCTGGACTCTCCGGTTTGCTAAGGCCACTTTGGGCTGCAGCTGGAGATGGCCAAATGAAGAAATCCTCCTGTGCACGGGAGCTCTGCTGGAGGAAATCTGGCAGAGGACTCACTGTGCCCCTTATCCCACCCCCTGAGTAAGGGAAGGAGGGGACCCATTGGGGTGCTCTAGGGGTAGGCCATAGGAGGGACATGCAGGAGCAGGGGAGCTGGAGCGAAGCTCTACCACATTACTCCACTGGCATCAAGTCCCCCTGCCCCACGCAGCCCTTACTTGTGCAGAAGCCACGTCTCGCTCTAGCTAGCAAATGTTTCCTAATAGTTGGACCAGAGAGTCGGACTTGCACCTCCTCAGCTCCACCTCTGCCCTTACTGCTAACTCAAGTGTGCCCCGGGCAGGTCACCCGAAAAATAAGCACAGAATTAAGCTACCTCTCAGGGGCGCTGCGAGTCACAATTCATATTTGCAAAGTGCTTTGAGATCCTCAGATCGAGAAGGGCCACTATTATTACCAGTTACTTTACTGGATACAGTTAGAGTTACACAGTTAGTAAAAGCAGGTTCTTTGGGGGGAGTTATTTCTCCAGCTCTTGGGGAGAAGGAGGCATTGGGCATCCAGGCTCTTGCATTTCTCAGGAAATGATAAACCTGGGTTTCTGTGCCTCCTGCCGTCAATTTCTATTACTGGCTGCTGAATCCAGAAATAAGAAAAAATTTCAATCCATTATTCTAGGCACCTTAACAATCAGCTAAGTGCAGAGTTCTTAAGAGAGTTCTACTGGGGTAGGATTGGATTCAAAAGGAACTAGTAATTGGCAGCCTTTAAAGAATTTTAAAGCCCCATTATTACATTTCCAGTCCACCCCTCAAGACTCGTTATCCACAAAATGAAGGACACCTAGCTAGAGTTCAATGATCTGATGTCTATTTTTGAGAATTTTACAGTGATGGCAGAGAAAACAGAGAAAAGATTCTGTGGTGCATGAATGTTTAAACTGGGGTCAGACTAACACGCCAGCCTGTGAGAGCACCGTGACAGTGAGTTTGGAATGTGGGCATTACCGTTTGCATCAGTTACTGTGATATCTTGAGCTGTCAGCACTGAAATGGATGTCCTTAATAAGGGCTTGTCTACACTTGAAATGCTACAGAGGCACAGCTGGGCCACAGTAATGCTCAGTGTAGACATACCTACGCCAACGGGGTGGGGGTGGAGGGGTTGTCCGGTCAGCATAACTAATCCACTCCCCGAGAGATGGTAGCTAGGACGAATTCTTCCGGCAACCTAGCACTGTATCCACTGGGGGTTAGGTCAGGTTAACTACACCACTCAGTGGGGTAGATATTTCACACTCCTGAGCGATGTAGTTAAACCAACTTAATCTTCTAGTGTAAACCAGGCCTTACTAAGCTGCTTTTCTTCCTGGCATCTTTTCACCTTTGTGTCTGGCTGATGGGAATTTTCCAAATTTTTCGTCAATAGCATACAAAATAGCGTTCATTTTAACCAGCGATGGATTGTAGCCAGTGCTTGGAGCTTAGCACTGTAATGTCCAGCATTCCTCTTCTAAAAACCGATATGGCTTAGATTAGCTATTGGAGCCACCCACCAGTGAGAGAAGTTTCCCTGCTGGAGTGTTTTGACTCTCCCATGCTTATCCAGGAAGCTGTATAGCAGTGTAATCAATGCTACAGCACAGACATGCACAGTTCTTGCTCTGAATAACAGAGAACACATATGCTGGTAGCCATAGCAGGTGTCTTGGAGGGCTATTCCCCTCCCTCACCTCTGTGGGTCTTGCTAGGATGGGCTCTATACTCACTTTGCTCTCATGAGATCCTGATCTTTCAGTGCAGATCCCTGAAGATATATCACTCGCTGAGACCACAGAGGAATCTGAAGGACCCGCCGAACTTGTATATCCATCTCTGTTGGGCAAAGTATCACTACGTAGTAATCCTGAAAGAAAAAAGCCAGTGTTTGCTTGGCAGCCTGACAGTGCAAGCGTGGTAAGATCGTTTCACTCGCTGATTGAGCGTGCAATTCTATGCAGGTTTCGGCATTACACTATTAATGGTGTGATATCACTTTGCACCAGCGCTGGGATGTCACAAGCGTTGAGGCACACACAGCGTTTTCCCCCAATCACGTTTGCACAATGGCTTTAATGTAGGCACATCTGACAACTGAATTATTAAAGGCCTGAAGATTTGGCTCAGAAAAGTGGGGCTCTGCGTATTTAGAGAAATTAACAAGACTTCAAAAATGAAATCTACATGGAGCCAAGGCTGACAATGACGACAGTGAAATCTTGATTGGTTCTTGAATTAAATGCAAATACAGGGTGCATGTGAGCCACTCTTAATAGTAATGGGGTGAAAGTTACACCCATTCACTGATAAACGGCGCTGATTAGACTTGATTATTCCATTCGGAGCTGGGTAGATCATCTGGGGTTCAACGAGCAAACACTTTATTTATATAGTATAAGGCATTCAATTTGGTAAACACCTTCTAACATAAAAAAATAACACATTTATAGAGGCATTTTCAATGTGCTTGGATACTACAGCAACAAGCGCTGCAGAAAAACCCGAACTAGCCCCGATAGAGTGTGTCCATTGTTGTGGCATAGAGGGAGGTATGTACTGCAGGGTAGTGAATCTACCAGAACTACAACAATATATATTTCTTCTGTGCTGTTTCCATATACTGATCCATGCATTCTATACAGTGAATTGAAACAAATTACCAGACCATACTGAAGACTAATCTGGTTGAACTGATATTTTTTACCTCGTATGTATTCCTGTCACATATCCTTTGCTTCCCTCTTCCATGTGCTCAGTGCGAGTGGTGCACTCATTACCCACAGCAAGGTCTAGCAGTGCGGAGAGCTCAGTAAGGACACTTGTTCAACTGCTAACACCGCTAGCCCTGAAATAAGTCATCTCTGCCTTTACCTGCAGCCGGGGATGGGCGTAGAACTCGTTCAGAAAGTCCATCAGGAGGTCAATCTTGAGGGAACTGACACAAAGGACAACGTGTTTCTCCGTCTGTGCTCGGTGGCGGCTGTAATTCCCTCCTGATTTCTGACGTTCCATCCAGAGGTACACAAGCTCCTCGAACTGCAAACAAAGGCAGACAGACTGTGGGGTGGGCCAAATGGATTCAAGGATTCAGAACACTTTCACGGCTACAAACTGCACATCCATAGTTATACTGTCCCCTGGTTAGCCACATACACCTGTGCAAGGTTAAGAGAGCTCTGGATAAAGGACAGTTGTGTTTATACATGTACAATGTTGTGTGTAATATACAGGAATGTAATCTGTGTTTAATGCTAGGGTGAAGGGCATCATGCAAATGCCTGTAAGAGCGAGAGAATGGAGAAGACACAGATAGGATAGACAGACTAGGCACACGTGCTAACCTGTATACCCTCTTGAAAATGGGTTGCTTCATTTCAAGAAACATTAAATGACAAACATCCTGAGATTTTCTGTAGTGTACATGCCCTGTACAGTACTAGGCATGCCTGTATTGTAACACATACGTATACTCAACACACATGTATACACGTTAAAATGAACTCACATCACAGTATGTACCTGCAAACTGTGACAACGTGATTTCTAGCTCTCCTGCTAGCGGGCACGCGCACACACACACACACACACCTCTCTGCTTGTTCCGTTTAAGGACAGATGGGAAGGCAATACATGTTGGCTATTCAATCCCAGAGGAAAACCTTTTCCCTATTCCCCTCGCCTGACACTAAGCAGTGACAGACAGTGAAAACTGCAGGCAACAGGCTGTCATTGCCGCATCATGCGGCTGGCTGGCAGAGAAGGAGCACTGGCTTGTCTGCTCCCAGACGTGATGCATCAAACGTCACGGCTCAGCCGCTGGTTGACAGTGCCTCAGAGCAGAAACTAAGTTCCCTCTATACCATGGGTTGAGAATTCCTCTCTCTCCTCTGGAAATCTCAAATCATGTTCCCAGTCAACTGTCTAGTCAAGTGGAAATCACCTTCCTGCTGGTCCTTCTCACGGGCCATGACACACCAGCAATGCTGCCATTTCTAATATAGGCTGAGCGCATCTTTTTCCTCATGGCTGTGTCGCTTACCTGGAGGGGCAGCACGACAAGGGCAACGCAAATCATTATAACCACCAGGAGCTGCGAGGGCCAGATCTTTGGGGTCACATCTCCATAGCCCACGGTGGAGAAGGTGACGATACAGAAGTAGAAGGACTTGAAGAGGGAGAGGTTGTCGCCTGCTCTTTCTAAATGTTGGATGCCACAGGTTCTGGAGGGAGGAGGGAAAGGGAGCATGTGTCAATTAGGCTTTCACACAGCACTCCATGAACATCAGGTTCCTGATCCTGCAACGTATAATGCCCTCCACTCCTACTCATGCCAGTGGGGGAAGAGGGCCCTCTGGTACTTGCAGGAGAATGCCCTAGAAGAAGCCTTAAACCTACCAGACTCATGGGCAGAATTCATCCCTGGTGTATCACCAGTATTGTCAGTAGGATAAATCTGGCCAGCTTGACAGCACTTCTAGTTTAGAGGTTCAATTTGGCTCAGATAATCCTCCCCCTCAATTAACATCTTCATCAGAACATGACCTCAAACTCTCGCCATCAGGTACCACACTCCAGTAGTACAACGCCACTTAAGTAGGCACCATGGAGTCCAAGGCCCTATGTTTCTGACAGAACCGAGTGTCGCAGAAAGGTAAACGGGAAGCTCATTCCATCCTTGCTATGACTCAGATGACATTAAGGGCTCTCAGTCTCATGACTGACTTCAAGTGAGATTCTTCAGCAAGCACAATGCTGCTAATACATTTCACTCTGCACTGCACCACTTTTCTCTTTGGAAACACAAACCTTCTGGAACCAAGCAGTTGATTGCCTCAGTAGTCAGTCAGCATCACTTGAGAGGCATGCAGGTTAAAAGTCATCTTGGTGAACAGAAATAATGTAGAAGTAGCCTTGGAATTTAATTCTAGTGCTATCAGACAGGCCAGGAAATACATATAGAGTCACAGAGGGCATGCGCTGCTAAAGGCAAAGTGTACTGTGGCTTGTTTTTATTTAAAAAGACCTGTCAGGATGTTTAGACCTATCATACTCATCAGCTTCACTTTGTGTCCACTTACAGCTTAACTGGTATGTTACATTCAAAGTCCAGACCAGTAGAGATGTAAGAAAATGTCAAAAGTCTAACTAGACATGAAATACCTAACAATGGAAAGACATCCACGTTGTTTTAAATGCACAGGGTAAAGGGTTCTGTTAATTAGCAGATGCCTCCGTGACCCATTAGACAAATGGCAATCTAGCAACCATGGTAACCTCCTCCAGATGAACAGCATATTTAGGAAATGCAATGTCCTTAATGTACAAGCCATCACAGCTGAATTAGTGTCCAACAAATATCTCCCCTTTGAAAATCACCAGTATCGCCCTGGACATGACAGCACTTACTGCCTGCTCTGAGCCATGTGAACTTGCATAAGCCAGCCTTGATCCTGGCATGCTCCAATTAACAAGTTTCTGTTAAAATCATGTAATTAGAGACAATCATTGGCTCCTAAAATAGGAATTGAACTGCCTGAAGCTAAGTGTTCAGGAGGACAAAGCAAAGTAAGGAGACGCTCTGAGTCAGTGGAGTGTGTCTGATTCTTTTATCAGCCATCACCACTTCCGAAGATCAGGCTCTAAAAAAAGTAAAAAAACAACAACCCAAAATGCTACAAAAAAGTGTTCTGAACATTTAGGATTACTTCCAGCTGGTGTAAACTGGTATAGTTCCATCAAAGTCAAATGCTGATTTACATCAGATCTGGGCCTTAATCCCATAAAACTAAATACTGACCCATTTGAGACCAATGATAAAGCACCCCTTGAGCTCAATGGACCCAGGATTTGGCCCTGTATAATTTGTGATGAATGGAGATTAAAAGGCTTGGGAGCTCAGTTTGGTTTGGGTAAACAGCCCTAAACTATGATGCTTTGATCAATATATATATATTTATATAGTCCTCTCCAGGATCTACAGAATCCAACTGGAATCAGACTGGAAACTTCCTGCTGCAGCCAGGGGCAGAATCTCCTGCAAGTTTCCAAATCACAGTATGGGGTTTTGGTGCACTCCTCCAATGAAAGCCAATGGGAGCCAGGCAGAGAATCAATCCCAGCACCCACTCACGGGCATGAGAATTCACCCCTACCCCAAACACTCTATTCTCCATTGTTCAGGTCAACAGGAAATAGCACCGACAAAGTGCACATGGTAGCTTATAAAGTCGGTTTTGTTGACTTTTCCATTAGACCTTTGAGAGCAAGAGAGGTTCTGCTATGGAGGGTCCTTCAGCCATGCTCCCCCTCCCGTGTCTGTGTGCATTAAAAGGACTCTTTGCCCTCAAGAGCACCACGTAGGAGGCAGTATAACCAAGAGGGGGTGAAAACACCATTGAATCAATGCTGTTTTTAGTAAAGAAGCTTCTGTCCCATCCCCCCACAACACACACACACACACACACACACACACACACACACACACACACACACACACACACACACACACACACACACACACACACCTCCAATAACAAAAGCAACAGGCAGTTAGCAAATACATGACAGGTTATCTGGACACTGACACCTTTGCCCTCCAGAGGTGAACAATATTTCCTTCCCCTGCTTAAAGAGGAAACAAATATTTTTGCATGGAGATGGAGAGAAGGGAAAGGAGTCAGAAAAAAGAAAAAAAAATCAATAGCTCAACCCTTCTGCCTTTGTGTCTGACAGCTAGCAGTGCGGCCACATGATGAGTGTAACCACCTAGAAGAGCACTGGGCCTCAGATCATATCCACAGGGAACAGCAGTGCAATTGGTCTATCATGTATCTTGCCACATGTCATCATCCGAGGGGCCATGCTTCAAAGAGCGATTGAAAAACACTCTCTACTGGGCTGACTTGGTTGTGTTACAACAAAAACAAAAAAAACCCACAACACATCGTGCATCCAACAGAGGGGTTTTGTTTTCTTAAGTCACATTTACCCCATGCTCTAGAGAAGGAGAAAGGGCTGATGTTCTGTTTACGAAGATGGAGGAGGTGTGCCAGTTTGGGCTTGGAGCACAGCCCCATCTCTCACCTTGCCAAGGTCAAATGTGGGATAAAGACCCAGAACAGAAGCCACATAAAAGTAATTGTGCTTGAAACGGATATGGGAGTAAGTGTCTAATGTGTAGATGCAATTCTGTTAACTATGCGTGCGAATTAGGCATGCAGATATTTTCTCACATGATTTTGAAAATCTGGCCCTGACCTATATTGCCAACCAATAACATATTTGTATATGGTACTCTCATGCCTAGTGACTCCAATGCAATAGTGCTGTGGTTCTGCTAACAATGTTAATGGAGCAGAAAAAAATTCCTACTAGCACCAGTTATTTGTGAACTTCAAAAGGTCTGGAGCTCAGTTTATGTTCAGATGAGCAACAAAAGTCTGGAGGCTTCTATGAGTTTCTGGGCTGGATATCTCGAAAGAACATGAAAGGAACTGAAAAAATTCAAGCCAAAAACACTGCAAGAGGCAGCTCTTCAAAGCCCATAATAAACGTATGGTTCTCTCATCTGCTCATTTGAGCTAATTCCTTAGCAATTTTGCTCTCTCCTGTGACTTGGTCCCCTCCCCTTCCCGAACCACGGCAGCATGCAGCAAACAAAAGCTGGTTGACTGAAGTAATCTGAATGTGTGGCCCTAGAATGGTGAGGATTGGAGCAGGGGGTCAAACGTCTTTATAGGCCCTCTGTGTTCTCACTATCCTGAACAAAAAGAACAGGAGTACTTGTGGCACCTTAGAGACTAACAAATTTATTTGAGTATAAACTTTTGTGGGCTACAGCCCACTTCATCAGATGCATAGAATGGAACATATAGTGAGGAGATACATATACATACAGAGAACATGAAAAGGTGGGAGTTGCCCAACCAACTCTAAGAGGCTAATTAATTAAGATGAACTGTTGTTTGACAAGAAGCTGTTAAGTATCCTCACAGCTTCTTGTCAAACTGTCTTAAATGGGCTATCTTGATTATCACTACACAAGTTTTTTTTCTCTTGCTGACAACAGTTCATCTTAATTAATTAGCCTCTTAGAGTTGGTATGGCAACTTCCACCTTTTCATGTTCTCTGTATGTATATATATCTCCTCACTATATGTTCCATTCTATGCATCCGAAGAAGAGGGCTGTAGCCCACGAAAGCTTATGCTCAAATACATTTGTTAGTCTCTAAGGTGCCACAAGTACTCCTGTTCTTTTTGTGGATACAGACTAACACGGCTGCTCCTCTGAAACCTATCCTGAGCAGCTCCTCTGGCCTGTGACATGGCTGAGTCTGTTTGTCTCATTGCACTTCGGGCTGGAGCTTCAGGGCAAATGGGTGGGAAACTTCCAGCCAGCTATGCAGCCTCCCAACACAACTTTCTGCTCCAGAAAGCTGGGCAACCTGCAGTCGGAAGAGGCTCTAACATGATTTTTCCTGCCACAGCAACAGGATAAAAGTGACACCCACAGAAGAAAGTTCTGCCTATCACATTTCAGACCACCACGCTCTGTTAGGGCCCGATCTTGCAAAGTCATCGCATGCACATGTCTCCTCACAGAGTAAAATGCTAAGCCCATACGTAAGCCTTTACAGGATCAGGGCCTTAGCCTTTCCCTCGATCTATTTAATCACTGCCTTATGTCACATTATTTATTTCATGAATAAATGTGGCATGCAGCCAGGTCAAGGGTTTAGAAAAAACAAACAAAACTGCTTACCCTGTGAAAACAAGACACAGCAGGGTACAAATCAGAATCAGCACCTGATTGAACATGGCGGATTGCGTCCTCTGTATCGCTCGGTGCAGGTCGTTCTGGAAAAAAGAGAAGTCTCACTTGGTGGACGACTAGGATAAATACTTGGGTGCAAACCTACCCCTCCGTTATACCCGTGCAACCTTGCTGACTTCCAAAGGGTTGCGTAGGAAGCAACTCAGGCCAGAATCTGTCCCTTTTAAAAAGTGTCACATGCATTTCTGTAAGGAATAAGTATTGGCCTATTCTGTCCCCAAACCTGAGACACTGCAGAGTGCAGCTCTGAAAATGGCATTGTGAGGCATCATGGTCATCACTTCTGAATGCAGCCAAGTTGGGGGGGGGGGGGATGAGTCACGGATAAGGGCATTAGTGCAAGGGATGGTGCGGAAGAGACCAATGATGAAGGGGATCTAGGGACAGAGACTGGAACGATCCTGTGTGTGGGAGGTGAGGAGGAGGCAGTTAAGGCCTGGAGGTAGCAAGCCTGGGTAACGAGGAGGATGTCGAGATGACAGATGGAGGGAAATGGGAAAAGCCATTGCTGTCCTGTTGTAACATTGCAAACTCTTCGGGGCAGGGACTGGCTACTGGTCTGTGTTTGTACAATGCCTGGCACAGTGGGGCTGCATTCGTGGTTGGCCCCTTATGCACAGCCATAACGAACATGAAATAAATAAATAATACACAGAGAATTGTGCCACATGGCTAAGAGCCAGCTTCAAAGTACCCATTAACATGCAATTTCGAAGCATTCTGTGAACACAGGCCTTAAGAACTCAGCTATAGTCCCCATGGGCAGAGCTTTCAGAAGGACTCAGATCTCCGATAGAACTCAAATCCCATTTAGACACCTCAGTAAGTGGCAGATTTTCAGAAAAGCGTCTAAATCTGGTACTAAGGGTCACAATGGGAGTTGTTGGGTGCCAGGGTCTTTTAAGCATTTGGCCCCAGTTGTGGGTCCTGTGCACTTGAAAATCTGGCCCTAAGTATAAATTTGAGTCACCGCCTTGGCAGCATAATCCACAGGACAATAGGGTCCTAGAGCACATCAGAGCCTGCTACCTCTTGATTTAAGGTGTCAAGTGGAGAGCATCGAGATACTCTCCAAAGATGGGGCATGGTTAAGGACACCTGAAATTGACAGTTTCTCTCTCGATATTAGTGTAAAACAAGCATCCCGAAACAATAGTAAGAAGACTGCCAGGCTACTCTTCTGGTTACGCTGGAAGGGAGTGGGTGATCTTTGGCTACTCACTATCATGTTTTCCAGGGCGTACTTGGCCAGCCAGCAGTTCAGAAAAACTGGAATAAACAAATTCCGTAAAGGGGACCAGAATATCTAGAAAACAATAGTTATTTGCAGGTTTACTTGAAAAACACTCACAAAACTCAATGCTTCTTTATTAAATAAGTCATAAATAAGTAAATAGTCAATTATTAGCCCTACTCCCTAAGAATCTAATTTCCAAAGTTTTGGCAGAGGAATACATGAGGATAATTGGCCTCAAAAGATTACAGAAACTGCCAGTTGCAAAGGTTGGGTCAGATCCTCAACTGGCCAGAAGCTGGGAATGGGCGATACGGGATGATCACTTGTTGATTACCTGTTCTGTTCATTTTCTCTAAAGCACCTGGCATTGGCCACTGTTGGAAGACAGGATACTGGGCTAGATGGACCATTGGTCTGACCCGGTATGGCCGTTCTTATATTGGTGCAAGTTGGCATAACACTACTGATTTCAATGGAATGACATTGATTTACATCAGTTCAAGTTCCAGACCTTAGAATAGAGTTTTCATGATCTGCCCCAAGTCTGTGTAGCCTTGACTATACTGGCCAAGTGCATGGCTATAACTGAGCAGCATTGCAATCTAGGTTAGATGCAAACACCTGAGACCTGTCTATGCTCCATCTTCCAAAGTCGCTGACATCAGTGGAGCTGAATTATGGCTATAAAGTTTGGCCATGATCCTGCAGTGAGCTCTGCACTGGTGCAGGGGTCTTGATTACATTGGCCAGTATCTGAGTGGGTCACAAACAATGCGGTCTCAGGGCTGATGGCAGGCAGACCATCTTCCATACAATCCTAGAGTTATGCAGCATGTTCACAACCAACCATGGAACCAGGAGAAATGCAGCCAGTCCCGAATTTCATGAAAAGTCTTTTTGAACCCATCAAGAAACTGGAAAATTTAAACAAAAATGAACATTTTCCACAGAAAGTCATTTGTTACTGCAAAAAAAGGTTTGGGGGGGAGGGGAAGAGGAGTTGACCTGCTCTTAACATTTCCTGTAATAGGACAGACACCCATTAATCATGGTTTCATAATGAAAACAGTGTAGCGTAGCATTTATTGAAATGTGATTGGTTTAAAAATGTCAAGAGCAAACACTTACTGTGATTATAAAGGGCACCGTGTTGATCATTTCAAGGATGAATGAAATGCGAAAAATCTGCTCCCAGATGTTTCCCTGCAGAATGAAAAAAAATGCATAGTTTAATTAAATAATCCCGGAAGAATACTGAAAAGGACAATTTAAAAGGTTCCGATTTGGGTCATTTCCAGCTATTATGATGTTGTAGCAGCCAGGAGAAAGCTGGGTATTTCATAGCAGGCAGAAGCAGCCCTGGTCCTTTTCCCAAAGAACTTATGATCTACATTTTAGATAAGACATGAGGAGCGAGAGGGATGAACAGCAGAAAGGGGATGAGATGTGGGAGGTGAGTGGATTATTTCTGAGTGAAGTTTAGTTTATGACACAGGCAGCAAAGACCCCTAGACTATCACCTCCTTGAAACAGAACCGTGTCAGCACTCACCCAATAACAAACAATGGAACGGAGAATATGAAGAAGAGCAGGGGAACAGAGTGCCAGGGTACAAGCCTTTCACCTTGAATGGAGCAGGTTCTAACCCAGTTTAGAGGCCTCTGGATTTCCAGGTGCACGAGGAGGCGTGGCCCAGTCTGGCCACCCCGGCCAAGCGGCTCTGGCCCCGGCGTCTCCGGCCCAGCTCGGGCCCTGGGGTGCCGGCCCCGGCCGAGCGGCTCCGGCGGCTCCAGCCTTGGCTCGGGCCACGGTTCCGGCCGAGCGGCTCCGGCCCGGCTCCAGCCCGGCCCGGCCCTGGGCGAGCAGCGCCGGCCAAGCATCCCCAGCTCCGGTCCCAGCGGCTCCGGCCCCAGCCCCAGCGGCTCCGGCTCCAGCCCCAGCGGCTCCCGCCCGGATCCAAGCTCCACCTCCCCTCCCCATTTTCCCCGACCTGTCCCGCCTTTTTG